AGTTGCAGGGGAAAAATAAAATAAAGTTGAGTTAAAAAATATACTTACAAATCCAGGATACTGCCCTCAATGAATCGGTCGCCTCGCGTGACCCGGTCTTGAAGACCCAGGTAAATGCCCGCCAACACGGCTGGAACAATGGTGTAGTCCGCTCGCTATCATAACGCATGGGCTAAAGGAACAAGAGAACTACAAATCGTCTTACGACCGCTTGGAAAAAGGATGGATCCTAGCAGCACAAAAAGAAAAATATGGATCTGTTCGGCGACTCAAGATCGATCCTGATTTCAGACCAGCAATTCCATATCGACCCACTGACTGTGTGAAGAGTAAGCTGCCCCCAACAGTCACGTACCCATGATGGAATGATCATTGGTGGTAGTAGATGGTTGACACACAATCCCGACCAAGCTCAAGCCAGAAATCTTGGCAATTTCCTCCAAAGTTGGCGTTGTCTTGCCTGTAGGAAAGAAGAAGGTGTTTGTTTGACAGTTGAACCACTCAGCAAGAGCCTCAAAAAGTGGAAAGTTCACATGGCAAGAGGCCATGTTCAAGATGTCTATCATCGAAACTGAATCCAAAAAGGTCGTGAGCTCGGACCACTACCAAGAAGAAAGAAACCAATCCCTGAATCAAGGCCAAATGATAGGGAAGTCATAGACACGTCAAGGGACTTCACCCAATTGAAGGCCCTGCGATATATGGGAGGACAGACCCTCAGGGAAGTGCTTAACCCTAGAAAACAAAGGAAGAACCTCCTCCTCTCTTCTATTATCAGCTCGCTTAGAAACTTTCGTCTTACCCTTGGAAACAACATCGTTTTGCCTAGGAGCCATGAAAGTCTAAGGGTGAGAGCAAGAAATACCAGTAAGATCAGATGGAAGATGATGAAGAAGGAAGAAGATGAAGATGAGAAGAAGAAGTAAGAAAGATGATGAAGAAGGAAGAAGATGAAGATGAGAAGAAAAAGTAAGAAATTGAAAGAAAAGAATGGGAAGTAGTTGATTTTTACAGAAAACAAGAAATCCGACCTAAAATGCACCCTGGAGCTATCTACTTCGGCTAACAGAGGGTTTAGATAACCCTAAAACCTTCCAAAATGATAAATATTACTTTTGGAGGTTGAAGGTTTGGGCGACATGCCTGATGTCACCCAATTCCATACTCAGGCTGGGCGACACCACCAGTGTCGCTCACAAAATTTTGAAAAAATACCCCTATTTAATCCCAGCATGTTAAAAAAAATAAAAAATTATTTTTGTATGGGCGACACGCTTAGTGTCACCCAGCCTATGAGGGCGACACCACTGGTGTTGCCCAAATCGTTTTTTACAAAACCTATTTTTTTTAATTCCCCAACTTTCCATAAAAAAATTTAAAAAATAAAAAAAAAAATTGAATTGGGAGACACACCCAGCCTGTGAGGGCGACACTCCTCGTGTCGCCTAGGCGATACCACAAATGTCGCCCAAATCTTTTTGCAAAATCCCTTTTTTTTTTTAATTTCCAGCATTCACATAAAAATATTTTTTTTTTTTTATTTATTTGTTATGTGGGAGACATTCCAAGTGTCGCCCAGCCTATGTGGGCGACACTCCTCATGTCGCTCAAATGTTTTCATGCCCCAATAGTTCTCGGCAAGAGACGTAATAAATAAATTTTTTTTTTTTTTGGTGGTTTTTTCCAAAAACTGTCCCCACTCAATTTTGGGGTCTTTCATGGATTAAATTTTATTTTCACATGTGTTTTATAACTGTTTTCAAACATTTTTTATTTTTCAAAAATCGTCAAATGCTCCTTGATGGCACGAGCCTAAATTTCTTACCAATTTTCCAAAAAAATAAAAATCAATTTTTTTTAAAAAAAAGCTCCTCGATGGCACGAGCCTAAACGGTCAACCAAAATCTAAATTCAAAAAATGTCAAAATCATGCGACGTAAAAGAGCCGAGATAAGAAAAAACATCAAACTCGTGCGACTTAAAAGAGCCGAGACAGGAATAACGTCAAACTTGTGTGGTGTAAAAGAGCCGAGACACGAAAAAACATCAAACTCGTGTGTCGTAAAAGAGCCGAGACAGGTACCGTCTATCTCTGTATGACGTGAAAGGTCGGGTGTATCTCGTTCAAACGTCAAACTTGTGCGATGTAAAAGAGCCGAGGCAGGTAACGTCTAGCCCCGTATGACATGAAAGGTCGGGTGTATTCCGTCTAGCTCTGTATGATGCAAAAGGTCGGGTGTATCTAGTTCAACATCAAACTCGTGCGATGTAAAAGAGTCGACGCAGGTAGCATTTAGCCCCGTACGACGTGAAAGGTTGGGTGTATTCCGTCTATCCCCGTATGACATAAAAGGGTCGGGTGTATTCCATCTATCCACATATGACGTAAAAGGGTCGGGTGTATGGTCCATCGCTGCCGGACGCTAAACTGCTTAGAGGGCTCTATAGTTGTAGGAGTTAAAACTGCTAACCAACCTTGTTTTTCGAAATATCTTTCTCTTTTCAAAATTTTCACTTTACGCCTTGTGTTTTCAAAAACTTTAATTTCTTTGTTAAAATCGTAATATGTCTTTGCTCCGGGTTCTATTTCAAAATTCCCCATTGCTTTCAAAAATTTCTAAAAAAACTTTTTAAAATGAAGGAGCATGGTCACCCGTATATGATGATGACCACCTTGCCACGATTATCGCGTTGCTTCCTCGTCTCTCTCTTTGGAATCGGCTAGACAAGTCTCTTCATATAGAAAGCCATTTCCTATAGACAGCCTTTGGAAACCCTAAGGAAATCAAAGAAGATGCCAGGGTTAAAATTTTGAAACTGCAAAATCCCTTAAAGTTAAGTGGCATGGCCAGAAAATCCAACTCGAGTTTCAAGCTTGTGTAACTCACCGACATCTCACGTCGAAAACCCTAGGAGGAAAACTATCGTAGGTGGGTGAGCTCGGTGAGCACAATGACTTGGACGGATTAGTTGGTATGCCCTCTAACCACGTGACTTCAGGAAGAAATTTAAAATGTCTTCTTTATCTTTGATGTTCATCTTGCCCCATGAAGGACAGGGAACAGCAAAGTATCTACTTCTTTGCCACTCACATGTCCCTTGAAGGACAGAGAGTACCAAAGAGGGGCATCTATAGACACCCCATTTTAAATCAGGCAAATTATGTGGTTTCCTGAACCGTTAGGACCACATTATCTTAGTAAACCCAAATCCGTAGTTCACACAATCTACCCTGTGACCCGGAACCAATCTGCCTACCCAGAACCCTACAAAAACCCAGTTTTGACCCAAAATCTTGAAAACGCCCTATTTTACCAAAAAACTCATTAAAAATAGTAAAAAACTCCATTTTGACCCAAATTTTCTCTAAGAGCTTCACAAGAGGCTGAACTACACACTGGAATAAAAACATTCACTTTTAGTTAGATTGGGTCTAGGCGACATTGGCATTGTTGCTCAACCCCGATTGGGCGACACTGCCAATGTTGGATGAGGATATGTTGGTTATGGAAAGTTATCCTTTCCAACATATCCTTGAACCTTATAAGATGTCTTTTCGTGGCCATTTGAGGCACGGCTTCAAAGGAAAAAAAACCTAGAACAAAGCTAGCTGAGAAAACCCTAAACCTAACCTTAAGCCAAAAAAAACCTAGACTTAGGGCACAACAACCCTAGATTTAAACTATCCTTAGGGCACAAAAACCCTACTACACTAGAGATCTGCTGGTCGACATCTGAATCAGAGAGGCAAAGAGGATGTTGGAGCTGATACAGGCGAGCCCTCGAAGGCTAGGGAGTCCTGGGCCATCCGACCCAATTCGATATTGTTTTCTTCCCTTTTATTTCTTCTGCTTTTGCTGTTTTCATTTGATTTTGATCTTATTCTAGTTTGCTTTAAAATCGTATTTTTGTGTCTTGGATCAGCTGGCTCTGCCACAGATTTAAGAGTAGATATGCTCGTTTTTGGGTAGATTTGGCCTCAGATCTGAATTCGATTTTTCCCACTTTCTCTATCGCTGAATTTTCATTAGGTTAAGATGTCAAGAACCGAGAGATCTTCGTCGAAAGATCTATCAGATTTTCATCGTAAACAAGAGGTGGGCGCACGCTTTGACTATTGCATGCTTTGCTTCAAAGCCTCAAAGCTGCAACCGAGGTACACCTTGATTAGGGAGGACATCTTGGAGGGGTGGTGTCCTCTCATCGGGGTTATTGTGAAGGAGGATGTGCTAGGGGATGCGTAGAAGGGTGTCATGCGGTAACCCCATGGAGACATGTAAGAACATGAAACAGTTTATAGTCGTGCAAATGGGCTGTATGTTGCGCAGTTTAATATCTTACTATAGGGACGTATGAAATTTGTACTAGTGATTACCCATAGGGCAGGATCAACATGCCCATCATTTGAGAGTGAATGCTCCGAAGGGTTTTCATCATACCCCCTTTATTTTGACAATCGTTGCCAATGTGCCCTTGGGGGTTTTCACTATGCCCGTCTTTTTTTTTTTCCTTTTTTCTTTTTGACATATTTTTCCCATGGTGGCCTTAAGGGGTGCACGATGCCCTTTCGGGTTTTCGTTATGTCCGTCTCGCTCTTTTTTTTTTTGTGGAGGCGTGTTTAAGGTCATGCCACCATGACCGTTGATTTGTGTGTTTTAAGGTTGTCCATTGAGACCTGGGCGCATGTTTACGGTCTTATCTCCAAGACCGTAGGGCATGTTTAAGGTCTTGCCTCTGAGACCATAAGGGTAGTGTGTTTTATGGTCATACACCAAGACCGGATGGCATGTTTTAAGGTCTTGCCTCCGAGACCATAAGAGTAGTGTGTTTTATGGTCATACACCAAGACTGGAGGGCATGTTTAAGGTCTTGCCTCCAAGACCGTAAGAGTAGTGTGTTTTATGGTCATACACCAAGACTGGAGGGCATGTTTATGGTTTTTCCTTCGAGAACATATGTTGTGTAGTTTAACATCGTGCCACTACAATGTGTACTATAGTTTAGGGTCGTATAGCTTTGACCATGTGTGACACTGGATCACGTGTGGAATCAGGCCCCAAATTCAATTTTCCCTTATCTATGAAGTTCTGGATGATGTGTTTAACAGCATGGCACTCCTCGGTCTTGTGATCAAGCCTCCTATGATATTGGCAGCAATCAGGCATGTCATCTCTCCCGACTTCCTTTAGTCTTCTTAGCACGGGTAGCTCCATCATCCTCTCTGATAGGAGGTTCTCAAGCAATTTGGGGACCATACGCTTGTCGTAAGAATAACTCTTGTTCTGGCTTTGACATGAGGAGTGCATGGTATTTGACATGGCAGCTGATAACTGGTCATCATCTTTGACAAATGCGAAGGGCTCAGATATACTTCCATGGTTCTTGAGCAAGCCTTCGATTTCTACTGCCTTGTTGACTATTGGGCCATGATGAAGTGACGTAACAGGACAATTCTAGGTGCATCCCGTCTATGCAGTATTCCATCTCTCGAGGCTCACCGATTGGTGTAATGGCCAGATTGTGCCACCTTTCGATGTACTCGATCACAGGCTCATGTGGCTTTTGTTTCACCTCAAGAAGCTCAAAAAGCTGCACTTTCCTTTCTATGTCGCAGAAACGCTTGCGAAACTCTTCTTCCATTTGTACCCATGATGAGATTGACCCTGGTGGTAACTGAGAGTACCATTTGAATGCAGCTCTCCTAAGGGTTTCCACAAATTGTCGAACCAATAGATGCCCATTGTTTGATGTATTTCCACAGACTATAATGAAATGGGCTCTATGTTGTTGTGACGAGCCAGTGCCATCATACTTGGGGAAGTCGAGTCTTTGGTAACCCGGTGGAAATGGGGTTTGATCAACATAGGTTGGGTAAGGCTTTTGATAGCGGTTCAGCTCCTCCATCATTGGGATATTATACTTCTTCAACGCTTCAGTTACCATGCCTTTTACTAGTTCTTCATTCCCAACCTGAGTTGTTGGGGAAGAGAGTGGCAATGAGGGAGGTGAGGGTGGGAGTGCCCCTTCTTTCAATGGTGTTATTTCGATGACCAGATACGAAGCTTGAGAGATGGTAAAGAGGGTTTGGTGCCTCAAGCTTATGAGACACCAATACCTCTTGATGTAAAGTTTCCATTATTTCATCTTTTTACCTCATTGTTGGAAGGCATTTTTCATCAACATGGGGCCCCTGCTCAATAAAGGCCTACCAAACAGTGAAAATTTTGATAGTCTTAGAATAGCCTGGCCAAGATCTTCATGAGGTCTCTCAAAAGTATCATGTCACGTTTTGTCACATTCTGACATGTCTAAGGTAGCACAGACTGAGAAATAGTTCTAGCAAAATCGGCCTCTTGCACCCTGAAACTGACCTTATAACTAGAGCTACATTTTTAGTGCCTCAATTTGTTGTGCGACCACCACCATTGGAACCAAAATAGTTGAAAACCCCTAGGAGTCAAATTTCAGCTCGAATGGACACTCCAGGAAGATGTTATAGGTAAAAGAGTGAAACAGAAGGGGTTAGGGGTCGCGTGCTATTCTCGTTCGACCACCCTGCAACTCCACGCCATGGAACAACCAGTGACTTTTGACACTCATATCTCACCCTTCCCAAGTCAGATCGTGCCCAAATTTGGTGAGCATGTTCGTCTAGTCAAGACGAACGATTCGATATGTCTCACGTCCCATGGCGATAACCGAGCGCAAAGAAAAGCTAGAGAGAATTTGTTGATATGTGAAAAAAGTGCAGGAAATTCAGCAGTGTCATGTCTCACACAAGCAGCCGGATCATGCCAATGGCCAGCCCGATCGATGTGAGATCAATTTCATTGAGGGCGTAAGGTCTCGGGCTATCACTAACCCGAACTCCGTACATGATGAACGGTCGGATTCTGCACATGAAGCCAACGAAGTGACTATAAATTCTTTCTCCAGAATTCCAGATTTCGGCCAAAATTACAAAGTTGCGAAATCTTCGGTCGGACATGGAATCGAGCTGCGTTGTTGCCTCACAATCGTAAGGGCATGCTCAGTGTAGTTCAACGAAGAAATTATCGAAAAACATCAAGGAACGAGTACACTATCAATCTGAAGTTCCAAGATCCACTCAAATTTCAAGTCACGTGATTGTGCACTAAAAACAGGATCCATGGCATGAAGTTGGTATCAAATCGATCGTTATGTCGAGCCCTAAAAGAAAACTATCATCATACGATCAACCGGGCATCAGAATGACCCCGGATCATCTATGCAAGATCACACAAGTTTTAAGACAACATAGGGATTGTTCTTGAATTCCACGAATTGTTAGGAAGGGACAAATCTATAATTTTGCACCCTATTTTTCTAATTTCTTTTAATTCAATTTAATCTTAATTTCCAGCAATGAGGGTTACTTTTGATCATCCACCCATGCTTAGGGCAAATTCTATATCTACGTACCAGCAATGTACGCAAAAAAAAAGGCACACACACAAGATCCATCTCCTTGCAAAAGTGAGAGTTTTTACTGAATATAGTTTATCTTTCTTCCCACTATTGTGTCACACTTGAGAGAGAAAGTGAGGTGAGAGGAACGTTTGACCGGTACCCCTAGGTTCAAGGTAAACCTTATCTCTCTTCGTTTTCTTTTCTTCTCTCTCTCCTTTTTCTCTCTTCTTCTCTTTCTTCTTCTTCTTCCCCATCTGAGCTCTCCTCATAAGCCAAGCACGATAGTGGCAGTGCCGTGCATGCCTCTATGGTAGCCTCATAGGTAACGTAATGCAATGGCAGTTCCAAGTGCTTGTCTCTTTCTCCCTCTATTCTATCCCTTTCACGAGGCCTACAGACGGTGCTGCTCATTATTGTCTATAGACGTATCCTAAGCGCCTCAGCGAAGGACACGAGTAACAAAGCTTATCGCCGCCCATAGGGGCTTCACCTTGTCGCGTGACCGTTGCAGATGGTAATACCCATCACCGTTCATAAAGGGTCGAGGCAATACTTGTCGTCGTGCGCCGGCTTCTTTCGTGCTTTTATTCACCCACTGTCATGCGCCCTGCGAGAAGTAATGGCCGTGAACCTATGAGAAGTTATCACCGTGTGCCTCGTTAGGAGCCATCATTGTTCTTTAAGGACATGTCGCCTCCTCGTACTGTCAACGGCGATGCACATTGCCGTCTAGATTCTTCCTCCCTTTGCCATCTCTCTCTCTTCTATTCATCCTTTTCTCTTCTAACTTGACTGCGGGTAGATCTAGCTTAGCAGTGCCATCTTGGTCTTGGTTTTGAGTAATATTGCCATCGTGCTGGTCCTGAGGACCATGCCCATCTTGCTACCACTCCGAGTCGATAATTGTCCGAACGTCATGCTAATTTCGCCTCTCCATCGAGTTTTTCTTCTCTTTTCTATCTTTATCTAAAACTTTACGTTTCATCATGCTCTCACATGAACGTACGTTGCCCTAAGACAAGGGTGGGTCTCCTTGACTCACTTGTCTTACAAATTAACCATAAAAGTGTTGTGCGGAAAACAAGAGGATTGTAGGTCAAGGGAGGCGATTACGAACTAGCTAAAGTAGCTGGGGGGCTTTCTTCGTGATCTAAGAGGGCACCCACGTGAGCCAGCCCGAGTAAGTCCCGAACCCACCTAAAATTCCTCTCTCATCGATTGGTGTACCTGCCCTTGCTCTCAATCAAGGTTATGAGAGAGCGATCTCAACCCCCGGTTCACCAGAAACCCGAGGTACGTGCCGCCAGATCATCTAGATCCGGAAGGCGAGATCGAGGCACGTAATTAACTTGACGACTCCACTGGAGACTTACTACCCTTAGTTGGCTCGCTTTTGTTTGACCAATGTCCTCTTTTACTTTCTGCATTTACTTCTATGGCACCTAGGTTGTTCAACCCATTCATTCGAGTTGGGGACTTCTTTATCCCCACATCCGTGTCTATCCCAGGGAAGCAAACTACTCAAGCTTCCTTTCCTAGTCTCCTCTTGAGTCAAGACTCTTGGTCTGGCTCCCAGGTTCTCACCTGGATCGGTGCGAGAGGGGACTTAAAAGTCCCCACCTCCCAGCTGCCTTGCCCTGGTGGACCCTCCGCGAAGGCCTCTTTCATCGGTGGCACATCTGCCACCACACATGGCATGCACCCTGCTACCGACAAGTCTCTTGCTGGTCATATTGCGAAGGTACGCCGGAAGGCTGCCGCCATCACTCTCGCGAAAGACAAGCAAGTTGTCGTCGCTCTTGAGGTTCGCCGAAAGGCAACCTCTTATGCTCCTTCATCACCCCGAACCTCCACACCTAGAGAGTCGGCACATAGAGGCAAAGGTCTTGAGATCTCCACCCCACGCACACACCCAAGGGCTCATGGTTCATCCACTCGAGCGGCACCTCGAGGCAACCCTCATGTTGCCTTGAGCTTTCATCCAGGGCTAGGCATTCTAGGGCCAAACCCTGCATGCACCATGCATTTTCTTTCCACAACCCGGAGCAGCGCTAGCTCTACGCCACCTCGAGCACATGAGGGTCGACTACTTCATCCTCCCTCCCAACACATACAGCTGCACCCTGTGAGAAGTGGGCTTCTGCCTCACCCCTCATAGACACAAGCTCATAGGTCTCGACCTCAACTCAGCTCCTTCCTCTGTCGCTCTCCCCACACTAGGCAAACACCTCGAGCTTCAATGCTTGAAGGTCTTCCCAAAGAGTACCATCTTGAGCCAGCCTCGGGTCAGCCATGCACGTGCGCTCCACAAAGGAGCTCGGGGCAACCACTTGATGTCAGACAGAGGCCTCCAGCCTCCAATGAAAAAACCCAGGCTGCCTTCTGTCCTTGGACCCCACTTCCTGTTTCAGCTCATAAACATGGCCCTTGCATGTTAGAAGAAGGCGGGGCAGTCCAGGTCTCAGGCACGGTTCTAGAGTGAAGTCCCTAGCTGTCTCAAGGTTAAGCAAGAAAGAGGTCTTCAGATCCTGACCAAAGAAGCCTCCAAGGCAGTCGAGGTCGCCACCTTTGATGACCTCCTCCCTCCAAACCCCTTTTTCCCTCTCCAAACTCCAGAGCTTGACCGAGTCCAAGAGTATTACTGGGTCGTCACTAATCAGAAGCCACGGTTCTAAGACCGTCAAGAACCGGTCCTCACAAGATCAGCATACAAGGCTTGGGTCCAGTCGGGACAAGATGAACCCCTCCAGACTGACTTGCCACGCACCACTCGTTGACCTCGGCAATCCGCTATCCCGCCAGGTTCTAACCTCAAGAAGAGACGGTCAGTGTTATGGTGATCAATGACCCGGACGACATTCAGGAGGAGCGGATGAACAAGTTTTAGGAAATGATGCAAGGCATCCTTAAAACGATGGAACGCCTAGAGGCCTTCAGGTCCCCTTCTTCGACCAGGTCCCCAATTGGTGAGGACACAGTTCCTAAGAAAACTCCTCCATCAGCCTCCCAAGTCGGTTCTACCTCTTGTGGGCCTCCCAAACCGACATAGATTCTATGGTGGCCCATAGCCTCAAGAACAAGGTCTTAGGCTTGCAAGAGATGCCGCTCTATCAAAAGCCATACCCTTCGTAAATAGACCAAGTACCCTTCCCTCCGAAGAACAAAAGGGGAAGCTCCCCATGTTCAACGGTACTATGTCGTCGCACCAGCATACTGCTCACTTCCAGACATCCTGTCCAGAGATAGTAACTAACGGACGACTACTCCTCCGCTAGTTCGTCGAAACTCTTGAAGGGCCAGCCTTCCAGTGGTATGCTCGACTGCCTCCCAACTCAATACACACATGGCAAAAGATGGAGCAATTGTTCTACCAACGCTTCTACGAAGTTCAAAGGAACAAGGAGACCATCGAACTCCTCACCCTGATGCAAGACCCTGGTGACCCGGTTGATAAGTTCATCACCCACTGGAGAGAGTTGGAAACCTTCCATGCCACTCCCATGACCGAGAAG